GGGGGGGGGGGGGGGGGGGGGGGGATCTCGAGGTGAGACACAACCTTTGCAAGTTTAGTTGACCAAGAGCAGTCGCGCAAGATGAGGCCTGAGACAGGCAGAAGAAACCACTCCAAAAAACGACATCCTTCTGGCTAAACAAATGTAAAAAAAAAAAATGCAGCCATCAAGCCAAATGCCAACCTCCCATTGAAACCAATAAGGGGGGCGCGTGTGCATCCATCAATCTTGGGTCAAACCACACACACCAACTGACGCACAACCCTAAGCTTGACCTGACCGTCATACTCACTGCGAGGGTCGGCGCAGGCGTGGCAGGGTCGTCCACTACGATGTCTGACGCCACCGTCACCCCAGTGCCCAGATCGATCGCAGGGAGAGCGTCGCCCATCTCGGCGGCGCCGTCCCCCCTAGAATCCGTGTCTCCCAGGCCAAGGGCACCCAGCTCGTTGAGACCCCAGCACTGCGTTAGGGAGGGACAGAGGGAGGGACAGAGGGAGGGAGGGAGGGAGGGAGGCGGGCACGCACCCACGCAGAGTCAGTCAGGGGTCAGGTTTTCGCAAAGCATACGAGTGGTGACAAAAAGACCTCCAGAGGGGATCCCTGTCTAGTAGTGCGGGTACAGGCACATCGCTCCGTCCGGGCAGTGTGAGAAAATGTTTCAACGACTACGGCATAAATCTACATGATTATCCCCTCCCCCACGCCCCCGCTATCATTCATTTATGCTTACTACAAATACTGAAACGGCAGGTGCACACTGGTACATACAATACATACCTTGACGCTGCCGTCGTCGAGCCCAGCACAGGTGAAGTCCGCCCCCGCGGCTAAGAAAGACGCCGTCGCATTCGTGCCCAGATCAACCGCGGCCAGCCCCGCGCCCATCTCACCGACGTACTTGCCCCGGCAGTAGTACTCCCCCCTTCCCAGCTGTCCCGCGAAACCCTTGCCCCAGCACCTTGGGGAACGAGAAGGGGGGGGGGTGTACTCATAGTCGTGCATGCCGTAGTCGTTAGACCATTGACCTCGCATCCCTACAAAGCCGGGACGGAGCACGCCGGGTTCTCACCGGACCAGGCTCTCACATCACCAAGCGCGAAGCGCCGTGAGATATTCGGCGGGTCGCATGAAGGGTGCGCTGCATCCTGCTAAGGGTTTTCGGCATCTTGTGCTTACTTCCTTGCGTACGGATGACAGCTGCGTATGACTTAATTTACTTTCTGGTGCTTTCACTTCCAGAGACAGTTATAAGCACTGTGTAACTGCCTCGAGGGTGCTTGACCATTTTAACACAACGTGGTGCGATCATCCCCCTTGGGCGGAGCGAGGGTTCTCCACCCCGCACATCATGATCTACTCGACCACCATTATGGTTACCGCCAAAAAAAAAACCGGTAACCTGGTTGCCGAGTTCACGAAGTGAATTGGCTTGTTTTACAGCGTCGTTGCCAAGCGACGAAAACCCAACCCCGATGGCAAACACCGAGGGGGACGGCTTGTTTTACAACGTCGTTCCCAAGCGACGAAAACCAACCCCGATGGCAAACACCGAGGGGGGGGGAGAGGGGGGCATGGCATAATTGCTGCAGCAAAGAAAAACATTCGGCGGGCTTGCCGCAGCGAAGCGGTTAAGATAGGCAGCTATGTAGCTTGATCCCACCGCCGTACTACATAACCAAGCCCGTAAAGTAAAGCCACCGCACATAGGTCTTCGCTACATGTTTGGTCCGCCGCCTAACCACAACGCCACCACCGCCGACGCCTACCCAACGACGCACCTGGTGCTGCCATCCCCCAGAATGGCGCAGCTGTGGCTCTCTCCTAGGGACAGCGACGTGGCCGTGTTCCCTGCACCGAGATCGACGTAAGGCAGGTCATCCCCCATCTCGGAGGGGTCATCGCCGATTGTATCGACGTGCCCCAGGCCCAGCTGCCCAGACCTGTTGTCCCCCCAGCACTGTTGTTGTACACGTAGTTTACAAAATAAAATTGAGTGCGCCAGAAGTGAGAGACGGGAGGCGTGAACTGCAGCGGTGCGAGGGGGGGACTCATCTCTGATATATTCTTCCCGCAATTAAAAAAATACAATCTTACGCGTCTTTCTTATCCTGAATCCATCAGGAAAGAAAAAAAGCAATCCGTCATTCTTTGAAGAACATATGCGCATGTTTCATCGCCGTTCTTTCGTAAACCCGGAGTGACGTGCGCCCTGTCATTGCTAGTATCGCTGCTGCTGCTTCACATTAGCTAGGTCGTGGTACTTCATCTGTTTCTTCAATGAGAGAGGAACTGGTCCAGCCAACACCCAAGACGATTATTTAAGCTCACAAATAATTTCACCTTGACGTTGCCTCCCATCAGGATAGCGCACGCGTGTCGGAGGCCGTACGCAACGTAGTAGCCGGTCTCGCCGGTTCCGAGGTCCACCTGTTCCACCACAAAAACCGACCAATAGCAAGTGTGTCGGAACAAAGAGTGGAGTACATGATTAGGGTGTGAAGTGGAGGCAATCGTCCTCGATAGACCATAGTGGTGAGATGGAACAATTCTTGAGGTCACCTTCCTTCATGGGGGGGCGAGGAAAGACAGGCATTTGTAGCGCTCGTAGGCCGCCAATACCTCCTCTCCGCTCACACCAACCCCAGCCTGAAAATCCGCAAGCCATGACATGGCAACACCACCAATCACCCCCCTTCCCCCCTCCCCCGACAAATTAAAAAAAGTCCAAGCGAAACGAGACCGGATATGCAACGATCTACCAAATCCACCATAGAACACACGCACCTCCTGGAGGTTGTCTCCCATGTCGTCTTCCTCATCCCCCACGTTGTACGAGTCCCCGACCCCGAGGCCACCGTAGCTGTTCCCCCCCCAGCACTTGACCCCGCCTCCCAGGAGAGCGGCGCAGGTGGAAGCGGTACCCGAGGATACCGATATCGCCTGGACACCGGCACCGAGATCCACGTAAGGAAGGTTGTCGCCCATGTCCTCCAGACCGTTGCTGCCGACGTTCGTGTCCAGGTTTCCGCGGCCGCACTGGCCCTCGTCGTTTCGCCCGAAGCACTGGGTGATGGATGGCATTGCGACACACAAGGGGGAGGGTGGTCGGCAAACAATACGTTCCGAGTTGACATTTTATTAGTTCGAGAAGGCCAGCAGCTTGGGTCAAGCTTGGGTCGAATTCGGTTGGTGGGAATTCTCAATATTCGGCTCCGCTTATTTTTCCACCGCAACAGCAGAAAACAAAATTAAAAATGCAAAAAAGATAACACCATGTAAGATCGATTTGTTCACAGGGACAGCGAAAGGCCAAGAAATATAGCCGTGTCACTCCAAACGACAAGCGCCGCATCAAAAACACGGCCGTTTCACCCAATAAATTAAAAAAATAGGCGTTTACCTTGACGCCGCCGCCCTCCACAAGCACGCAGGTGAACTGCTGGCCCGTCGTTATCGCGACGGCTACTGCTGTACCGTTTCCGGACGGCGCAGTGCCGAGATCAACGGCCGTGAGGTTGTTGCCCATGGTGGCGGGGTCGTCCCCGCGGTCAAGAAAATCTCCCTTGCCAAGCTGGCCCCAGTCGTTGCGACCTGTGAAAGGGGAGACGAAAGGCAGCCAGCCGCCGTCCGCGTGGTGGTTGTCACACCGCCGTCTAAGGTTGGTTGGTCGCAAGCATGAGCGAGTCAGCGGTGGTACTTCGGGGCAAGGTATCAAAGGAGGAGCTGAAGTCCCTTGTGCGGTCAAGGTATGTGTGTCGTTTGGCCTGTTACCTATGCTAACTACTTTGCTCAAGGGTCGGTGATTCAGCCGGCAGAGAAAAACCAGCGAACAGGGGAGAGAGGTCTGCTACGCAACGCCTTGGCATGTCGCATACTCCAATTCTAGTAAAAAAACGAAGCACCGACTTTTGCCACCGCAAAACACGAACAAGTCCCTTTTCGTCTTCATCTTGCCCCCCCCCCCTCTCCTCTCTATTCCCTCATAAAGCAAAGAGGGGTTTTAACCTAACATCCCCAGTTGCATGCTTAACTTAGCCTCTTCACTTAACAAAAATAAATTAAAAAAATAAATTCCTTGCAAAGGCTATGTTCGGCTCTCTCTTTCCTCACCCCAGCACTTGACGATCCCGCCTTCCAGCAGCGCGCAGGTATGCTGCCAACCAGCCGACACAGCAATAGCGACAGCTCCGGTGCCGAGATCCACTTCCGGGAGAAGGTCCCCCATTTCCCCAGACTCATCCCCGCGGGTCTCTGTGTCGCCCAAGCCAAGCTCCCCGTTCTTGTTGTACCCGAAACACTTATCATATTACAAATGTTGGGTGTGGACGGCGGAGGGGACGGATATGGGGGAGCCCCACACACGCATTGAGGTACAGGAAACGTGCACGTTGGTTTAGGCAGGCGAGAGTCGTTGTGTGCGTGGATGGCGGATTGGACGATGTGACGGAGAGCGAACCGCCCGCACACCCGGCAGCTACACACGCAGGGAGACAAAAAGAACGTGCACGTTGGTTAGGCAGGCGAGAGCTGAGGGGCAGCGTGGGCGGTCGGGCTTGGAGCCCTGTGGGTGGTTTGGATGCAGGCTGCAGAAGTCTGCCCATTTAAATTTGTTTGTTCCATCAGAAGTCATGATGCTCAAGGTGCGCCCCCAGGGCGACTTTTCCCGTCAAGGGCGGTGCAGCCACTTGCTTTAATCAGGAACAACAACTCCTCCTCCACCCATGAAAGGACAATGTAGTAGCCTTTGCAGGGTTTTTCCATGTACTCCAGTATTCTGAAAGTAAACATGTTGGACAAAATATGCAATCGGGTTAGGGACAGGGATCTCTCGACCTTAACATCGTGCGACGACAATACGCCGGCTATCCCTGCGCGCCACCCCCATTTGTGCTGACACAGCGAGCGCGACGACTTTCTGACCCCCAAAAGTAACCCCGCTCTCATATGCGTGCACGTACAGCAGCATCCGTCCTAACATGCGACCGGCTCGAGGGTACTGCTGTTATATCAACTTTCTGCCGGAAAAAATGAGAATCGAGGCTCCAACTCAAGTGAACAATTACACCGCGCAGTCAGTGCATAGCTTAGATCTCGAACTTTCCCTTTTGAGCAAGAACTCCCGTGCGGTTTACTGCTGTAAACCCTCTATTAATAGTCTAGACACCCGGGGTTGGTTATGTCGCAGTACAGATTCTCCTACATTTATACCCTGTGGTGACGTGGGGCCACAACTTGACGGAAACATCCGCGAAAAATACACGCATGATTCACCGAATGTTGGTGGATTGTTGTTGGTGACTTGAGACGGTACGGGAGTTGGAGATCTAGGTGTACAGCAGTGCGAATCTCGGATGGTCGGGTTAATGTGATAATGATGACACAACACGACAGACATAGGCGGACAAAGGTACGCATACCCCAGCGAACTCCTGGAACATTTGGTGGGAATGGAATCGAAGAAAAACACCTCTGGTTACTTGGACCGAAAAACAGACAACGGCACAAAAGGGGAGATGGCTGATCGATCATCCGAGCCTAACGCTGCTACGAGGGTTGGCTCTGCTTGTTGGCTACAGAACTGGCCTGTTGAATGCTGCCTGGGAGGAACGAATTTATCCAGAAAGGCTGCACTCTCCTTGAGTGTGTTGGGGCGAACAACCTCACCAAACACCCCAGGAAACATCAACAAAGGCATCCATGGGCAAAGGCTTGAGCACGAAAAAAATGGGCATACCGGCGCGGTCAACACGAAGAATTCTGTGCCTTCTTACCCAGAGGCTGGCTCTGCATGTTCATAGTCGTCGTCCCTCTCACCTTGACGGTAGAGTCAGCCGTCACGACGCACGAGTGCTGGTACCCGCCGGACATGGTAGCGGTATCTCGGGCTTCCGCAGCGGGCAGGGCAGCCATCTCGGCTGCCAGCGCAGCCGCTACCAGGCACGCCACCAAGGAATTCGCCATAGCAGTTCTAAGCCTCCTCCTAACCGGTACTGCTGCAGTGCGGGCCTCACTGTTGGGCGGCGGTACGCCCGTGTGCGGCCGGCCTCTGCGCTTACGAGGGCATGTCGGGCTCATGCTTGGCTGCTCGCTGATATTGATCTGTTTGGGACGGTAGAGAGGTCGCGTCAGCAGCAGCGGGGGTGCTCTGGATAATAATGGAGGTGGGATTCTAATTCTTTACGATGGAGAAACCTTCGTCCGTGTCGAATATTTTCAAAAAGCACCAAACGAGCGGGAGACGTACGCATAGATAAAGCTGCCGCTGGGGCGCCAGAAATAAATCGAGCGGCGCGCGCACGCAGAGTTCACGTACTGCGCACAGAGGCGGAGGTCGCGTGTCCATGTTCATGCTGAGATGCCCATAGCATGCGAGAATTCGCAACGGACGTTAGACGCAGAGGGACCAACCAACAACCCATTCTTTTGGGAGATGGAACCTCTGGCAACCAGGGGGCATGCCCGGAAAAGAAAAATGATCCGAATTAATGGCTCCCAGAATCAAGGCAGAGAGAGCGCGCCTTGCAGCGACGGCTCCGCACTTTGTTGTCGCTGCCACTTAACACCTGCTGTCTTATAACCCCACCAGGAACGACTTCTTCGTATGATGGACAGCCCTCGGTGCTCACAGTATCTAGCAGCAGCAGACCCAGGCAATCTGCCAGGATTCCGAAGATGTTGTTTGTGTGTGTGGACCTTGTCTCTCCTGTCTCCTCTCAGGCTCTCGGTCAGGGATTCCCGGCGATGGGACTTTGACCAACAGGCTTCAAGAGGGTACACGCTGCTGTCGATCACCTGTTTCCGCGTGCCTCTCGATGGCTGAAGCGCACAGAGGAAGATGGAGAGAGAGAGAGAGCGAGAGANAGAGAGAGAGAGAGAGAGAGAGAGAGAGAGAGAGAGAGAGAGAGAGAGAGAGAGAGGGAGGGAGGGAGGGAGAGACGGAGGTATGGGCGCCATGGACCCAGCTTGCTGCTGGCTCCGAACATGTTCGAAAATATCTATATACCGAGAAATGGCGAGGAAAAAGGAAAACGGCGGACCAATCAAAACTTTCGACGAAGGGTCCTGGGTCCTGGGTCGCACTGCTACGGCGGTAGGGGTCGGGTCGAGGGTCGAGGGTCGAGGGGTGGCGGGAGGTCGGACCGTACCCCGCCGTATCGAGAAGGAAACTTGTACCGAAGCTCTCAAACAAGAACATCAGACAGACGAATTATATCGCAGTAGTTAGCGCATTCCTTTTCTTGCCCCCGTCGACCGATGTACATACATATCCCGTGACGCAACTTGCGTGACGAGAGATCGTTTTCGTGACGAGTCGCGCAATGTTCATCACGTAGACTAGTCTAGACTACAGCGTATAGTCTATGGCATAATAAATACATTGATATGGACTACGTACGTGAAACGCATTTTATGGGGCATGTCATGACAATAACAACAGCAAAATGTAGACAATCGAGAGTTGCGGGAGAGAAGGGGCCGCTGAGCATTCCTTGAAGGGTAGCACCTCAGAGGTATTATTAGACAATAATTGCCTAGTTGATTAGTCTAGATTTGCTATTGTGGAGGTCAGGATATGGAGATTCAGGGAGCACAGATACACGTACATAAAGAGTAGGATCTGGAGGAACACGTGATAATGGATTACTGCTGTTCTCCGAGGGTCCCCAACTCTTATGACCCCCAACGGCTGCGAAGAGTTGATGGATCTTTAGGAAAATGGGAAAATGAGTCCACGAAGGCTCGCCCACTCTCCGCACCACCCTAGCTTGACTGAGTTCGCTCGGTCACGCTTGGCATTCCTCGCCACATTTGCACCAGAAAAAATAGCCAACCTCCGGTGGCAGGACATAGCCACCACAAACCCGGACTCTCCGCTCACCCAGCCTAGCAAACAAGAGGAAGCCTCGAAAAAGGGGGGGTAATAATGTGGAGACCACCGTCATAAAGGTTGAAACTCCCCAACGTCTGTCGAGGACGAAACCCTCTATTCCACACTATATGTAGTAACAGCAGTAGGTGTGGGCGGCGCCAGTCAGCGGAGAACACAAGGTCGCCCCGGTGGTCTAGTGGGTAGCCTCGCATCCTGCTAAGGGCCAGGTCATGGGTTCGAGTCTCGACAGAGTGAGCTTTTTCTTAGTCTTAATCCTGGTCTCTGTTGGCGCGGATAACCCGGGTGCCTTAGGTCCTGCATCGTGGAAAACCCCTTCAATTTGGAATGATTCCTAGTCAGTGTCGATGTTTACACTGCTGTGTCTAACACAGATGACCTGGATAGATTTCGGTGATTATCAATTGCAATGATGGCTTTGGTTGGTTGTTCTTCTTGATTGTTTGTCCACGGACACTCATTCTGGCGGCACTTCAGACAGCAGCTGCATGCTGCCCCGAGCTTGTGTACCATGCACCATCCTTGTCGCAGTTGTTACCTCGCATTGCGCGCAGAGGGAGTGGAGGACTCCAGAATATCTTGTATCAGTCGTTGATTTCTATTGACTTGCGAACCCCTCGGGGCCATTTAATTTTGAGTGTACCCTTTTAGGGTAAGTTATAGCCTGCGACCACGGAATCGTCCGCGTCGAGTGTTGGATCAGTTGTTGTTGTTGTTGTTGTTGTTTTTCTTCACATTGAACTCGTGTCAGTTGCTAATCCCAAAATAAGGCAAAGACTCGGTCCGTGGTCACAAAAATGCTAGAGCCATCAGAAGATCTAAAGAACACACACACTATTAGCAAGAAAAATGGTACGCAAGCCCGAGGAGGTACACCTGCAATCCCTGCAGCACGTTTGCATGCTCACAACTGAACTACACGCCCACACACTTCAATTCGACTACAGCAGCCCTTACTTGTCCCGCATTCAACCAAAATGAATGTTTGTCGACTACAGCGTACTGCTGTTTGAAGTGCTGTCTGTACAAAATTAACACCATGGTGCATGGTACACAAGCTCGGGGCATGCAGCTGCTGTCTGAAGTGCTGTCANACCAAAACGAATGATTGCCGACTACAGCATACTTGCTGTCTGAAGTGCTGTCTGTACAAAAACACCATGGTAGGCATGGAACAAGAAGCTGGCGGGGCATGCAGCTGCTGTCTGAAGTGCTGTCAGAATGAGTCCGTGGAGATCCAATGTAGAACACACTCCGGTCGCCCCGGTGGTCTGGTGGGTAGCCTCGCAGCCTGCTAAGGGCCAGGTCATGGGTTCGAGTCCCGGCAGAGAGAGTTTTTTTCTCACTAAATAAATCCTGGTCTAGGATGAAAGCGACGCGCTGCAAAGCTCGTTTGTTAGTAAACCATAATCGACTTCGTAAGTCGCGAGGGAAGGGATTGCTGTACCCTTCTCGCGATAAAAATACCTCAGGCATGAACCGCAGGAGGGGGTCCAACCCCCCCCTCCTATGTGACCCCGGTTGGGTCGTCTAGCCAGTAGAAGTGGAGGATAGGGGCCAGAGGGGCAGACGGCAGAGTCCAATGATGGGAGAGAAACAAACAAACAACTCAACCAACTAAAGCCATCATTGTAATTGACGTCATCACATCAGTAGTACGGACAAACGAAGGTACATACTCACGTGAGCTTTGTTTGTCAGCTATTATTATTATATTATTTCGCTTTCACCCGCACATTTCTTTCACCCCATCCATGGGGATTCGAACTCACGAGGTCGACCTCTGCGACTAGCGGATTACTACGAGGATACCACAGTTGCAATAAATAGACCACTGGGGCGACCGTAGTAGTATTATAGTTCATTCAGTTGTGAACACGCAAACGTGCTGCAGTAATTGTAGTTGTAGGTACCTCCTCGGGCTTGTGTACCCTCTTCTTGCTAATAATAATAATGTGCGTGTTCTTTTTTTTTATTATTTTGTGAATAACGATCTTGATGGCTCTAGCATTTTTGTTACGACGGACCGAGTCTGTCTTTGCCAGATTTTGGGATTAGCAACTGACACGAGTTTCATGTTAGGAAAATAATGACAACAACAATAACAACAACAACAACAACAACCCGCGGGGCTCCGTGTATCAATGCATGGGAAAGAGCAGGCGAGAAAAAGCGAGAGACAGCGAGACGGATAGAGACGTCCGGTTACACCACCACAGCTAAAGGAGTACGAAGGGGCAAGCGTCCTTCAAGGGAGAAACTTGAACCTGTGCTTTGACCTTCCTGTGCGTGCTCCTTGCGTCCCGGAGGAGCTGTCGGTGCGTCCTTGACCGCTGAAGGCATTTTCTCGCTCTTTTCCCAGATTTGAACACAGCGGCCGGCGGCAGAGGGGGACACAACGACCGAGAGACCAAGTCACCGGCAAAGAGCTAAAGGAGAAGATTTGGCAACGAAGCGCGTAGACAACGTATGCACCTAGCAGGGGAAGTCGCGTGGAGTATCGCCTCTACTTAGCGTTGGGACGGCGGTGGCGGGAGAGTCGCCTTGGCTGCAAGCCGACTCGGTGCAGGTGGAAAACCCGCGGACAAGGGGCGGCAGTAGCATGGCTGGGCGCAAGCACGACAAGGAGCCTGGCAAGTCTGCGAGCATAGCACCGCCAAAGAGGCTCGCGCTCAGCGACAAGACTGCCCAAGCTGTCTTTGTCGACACAGAGGTCAGTCAAAGCGGTGTAGGTTGCTCTTCGGTTCGCCGACATGTAGCCGGCAAAGGCGGCACTGGGTTGTGTTCACTAAATAGATACACTACTGGAGCCCCGGCGGGTTCCATTTGCCGCTGGGAGCAAGCAGTAGTAGTCAGCGACTCTGTAACCATCGATGATGTAACGGCACCATGCACGCTGCGCCGGGAGAGCACATGCACATGCGTAGGTGGGAAGCCTAGGTTCTACCACTCCGCGGTGGTGAGTCTCTGCTCGTTAGCTGGGTTACGCAAAGTCCGAATCCTATTCGCCTGCACCGTCCCTGGCAGCAGGCGCAAAGACCAGCAGCATTCCTTGATTAGTGCGTTTTCTATCTAGGTAGATCTGTCCTAGCGACGGGCGGTTAAGTGTCGCCAGACATGCATAGTCTGACTTGCGAGAACTAAGCTCGAGGAGCGGGCAGAAAAAATGTGCACCGTTGTAGAAATCGACCACCATCGACGGAAAGAGAGCAGGGGCGGACACATCTTGCCGCAGTTGTATTTCAAACTTTTTCAAACCGTTTTTTGCTCGCGACGCATTTTCTAAAATGAAGAGACGGGAAGGAGATGCATTGTATCCTCAGAACCTCACCCATGAACCATGAACGACAACTACTTGTGTAGATACAAAATGTCCCCATGCATATGCATATGCCTACCAGTTGAATAAAACGGGCAAGCTGCATGCACGCATGCACTCTACACAGTAGTAGATATGTTCCGTTATTTGCGAACACACCGGCGTAGAGCGTAGAGTCCAACATCATCCCGGCACCTTCCAACAGCTACAGCAGTATCCATACAGCAGTATGAAAGAAAATGTCCAACAGTCCGATGCACAAGATGGCCACCATCTGTCTTGTGGGGCATGTTACCCGCAAGGGAGATATACATTGTAGCTGTATTCGTGGAATAACATAGTAAAACATGGATACCGAGAGATCCGCCGTTCATCGGAACCGCCGCCGCATTCCTGCTTGCTGCATACCTGAAGATCTAGCGTCGCCCCAACGCTGATTGCCTACCACGCACGTTATTTCCTGGCCCGCTCCAAAACGCGCCATTATGGTCTTGTGCAGCTAATACGCACATGTTGCCAACAGATTGCCCGAGTGTTCTTGCAGAAAATATAAACGGACGGCATATGTTTTGTTCTCGGATGAAGAAAAGAACCACATTTTAGGACGGCTGTTTGTCATCCTCATGTGCAGTTTCCAGTTTCTGTACAAGTAGACCCTATCCCAAACCCTAACCCTAACCCAACTCCCTCGATTGCATGTGTACCCAATCCAACACGTCGAAAAAATGAAAAACCCTACCAAGGATGTACTGTTATGATATTTGAGTACAAGGAAAGGATCTGAAATGTAGTTCTAGGCAAGGTATTTAGGTTCTGGCGGGAGCTGCAACTCCCTAGGATTTTTATCAAGAGGGAATATTGCCGTAGCGGCCCCTCCCTGCAAGGAGAGGTCCGCGCCCCCTTCTGGTTGAGTCTATCCGAAGGCAAGGAAACAACAAGTTTGCTGCTGCTAAGAGGTAAAGAAGGATCAATATACAATGAGTCTTCATCAGAGTCTTCATCGGGCTTGTTACGCGTGTAAACCTCACAAAACTATGTATATAGTGCTGTGTGCAGAACGCGGAGTGAAAGCGGGGGGGCATCGTGGTCGCGGGGCCCGATGAAAATCGGGAGGGGCCAGACAAGGAATTTTTCCCTTTCGGAGAAGAAGTTCTTTGTTCTGAAGGCAACAGGATTTTCTTCAGTTTCGCGGGGCGCGGGTGACGCACTTCGCGTTTTTATGTCGGAAACTTTTGCAGGGTGACTGATGTGTGAGCCCGGCTTTTTGTACCCGCGCACGCTGGGAGAGAAAGTTGTTCTCAGGGTATCACGGCTCTGTACCCAGTGCGTTTGGATGCCTGTTCGGCTACATATTGTAGGCACCTACGGAATCGACCTCCCGAAACAGCAGCAAGCTCAATATTCTTTGCACACACCCGCGCCCGTCTGTGTTTGCTTTCGTCGGCGCGTTTGGCTTGTTTATTTAGGTACTGCTCGAGCCGGAGGTGATTGGCCGGTCTGGATCAGACGCTTACGGCTGGGCGCGGGGAAAGTACTACGCCGTGGCCCCCTACGCGGAGGATGGGGTGGTCTCCAGATGCGGCAAGGTAATCATCTACCGCAGCATCTATTTATGTGTGGAGAAAGCGCAATCGCCTACAATAGTACAATAGTAGCGGCCGCTGCGGTCGCGCAACAGCATACCTTCATTGTTGAAATGTGTTTGCAATAGGGAGTGTTGTTTGTCGGTGTGCTTGGGGGGACTAAGCTTACTAGCGTACCCTGCTTCTCGCGGAACGCCCCTATGCTTCACAGCAGATACCAATCGTAGGTCGGCGAAGTGGGGGCGGAGCTTTGTAGATCCCCGGGGGGACATGTAAGGCTGATTCCCGGGATTTACCCCCTTGTCGTCAACTCCATATTGAGGGTCATGCGTCCCCGCATCTCCAGGTGTAATGCACCACTCATCTCCGGGGTTTCCACACAAATAGTAGGCATTCACACACGATTTGCGGGACCCTGAATGGCCGCCGTCAAGAGCGGCATTGTCGTTTTTTTCCGCGCTGGCAAACCTTCTGACCCATGTCCGCTACCTCGGCGCCATCCACGGCGTAGCTCGTTTCTGTGGTCGAAATTGAACCGGTGCGTTCTGCACAGTAGTTCTTAACCTGGGACGGATGTCATGATGGGGCTTCGGGAGCGCGGAGAACGGGGGGGGTGGGGGTGGGGGTACGATTTCCACACCAAGGGCCCCCTTGGATGGTGTCGAGTGCTTATCTGGTTGATGACCCTGCGCTTGTTGGCAGGATGGGAAGGAGGTGGCCGTGAGGTTCGAGATAAGAGACATGACGGCTGGAGGGGAGGGGGTGCACCTCTCGGCGACGGAGTGCAAGAAGGTCAGGTTTTGGCGTTGTGTGTCTTCGGAGGGCGGTGTGAAAGGGTAGTTGTGAATGTGCTTTGAAAGAGCCGAGCGTCTGCTTGGCTTTCCGAATTCGATCGACCACCCCCGCTGGCCGAGGCGAAGCAAAGACCGATAGATGTACTTGGGGATGCGAACACGGCACGTGATACAGAGGCCCAAAATTCGTGCCATGCGCCGGTTGGTATGTGCGACGGTGTCAGCATACATGTATACATATTTCCATATTGTTTTTGTGTGATTACGGCAGTGGCATTTTGCAGTGTCGCCACCCTGCGACTTGAGCTTGCCGCGAGGAGGGGGGGAGCGTAGCGGGGTTGGGGGGTCGGATCAGACTCGAGGGGTGATGTACGAGGGGTCAACAACCCCCGGGTGCTCACCTCAAAACCAATCCACCCATCGGACACGCATCAAACGGGTATTAATACAGTTATTCATTTGGCTTTCAGGTCGTTAGCGGTGGAGCCTGTTCAGGGAGTCGTTTGTTCTGTGCCTGTGCAGAGCAGCTTTCGACCGCTTCACCTGAACAGACCGACTGAAATACGCACGTATCAAGCTTTTGCCGCTCTCGCTTGTTTCCGTCGAACAGGTGCAAAAGAGCCAGTACTATTTCTTCCAGGCGGTGGAATTCCTGCTCCCCGGGAAATTTCTCTTCATTTTTTCGGCTAAGAGCACCAAGTGAGAGAGATCAGTAAATCAAAGATCCTTGGTGGTGTTCTTGACTCACCGTTGAAATGGGGGCTCTGACCCGCGGACCATACACGAGTGTTGGGGGGAACTCTTCGAGGTTCTGCAATGAAACTGGATAGGTCGAAACGTATTTACCATGGACCAGGGGTATGGCGATAAACCGACTGTCCATTTCGGCACCGCTTGCATTCCATACATTCATGGTATTGGTTCATTATTTTCTCCACGGATTGTTGGGATTGATCCGCGGGACGTACGTGCACCAGTGGTCACGTCATGTCATATTTTCCACCTGTCATCTATTTGACCTTCTAACGAGGGTAGCCTGTGTCCCTGTATTAGCGTTGCTTGTTTCTCCGTCTCTTCTGCTATTCTAGGGCTGGTTTTATCGCGAAGGGCTTATTCCAACAGGGCGGTGTTCACAATGAGCATCGTGGATCTCGTGGAAAGGCGACCTATCATTTTGCGTCTTGAGCCCCAAGCAATATCTGCCCTACACAACGACTTGTTTTGTCAGGTACCCGGATATCGAGCCTGTGCAGTTTTCGGTAACTGTCAAGGCCCCGGCGTCCCTCAAGGTGAGCCGCTACGCGAGAGTCGAAACATGCTGCGAAAATGACCACATTGCAGTTGCGTTTGTAGTGCCCCTCTGTTTCGGTTGGTCGTCAGGGTGTGGATCGGGGGTACTGTTCCCGCTCCTTTCTGCGTACGCTGCGTCTTTACGGGGCATGCCGTTGCTGCCTTGCCGTCAATCACGGCCGTCGTCTCCCGTTAGGCAAGCTCAACGTTGAGATGTTGTCGAAGAAGGCTTGAGGCAACATGAGCCTTGAGGTGTTGTCGTGATGAGTGAGAGAGAAGAAGCCCTCCCTCGAGGGTGTATGTAGTATACGTGCCGCCAGGTAGAAGACGTTAGAGGTTAGAAGTGGGGTGCGATGGTGGTCGAACGTCCACCGCTTCACGTTCGTCGTGCAGTGGCCTGACGCGTACATCTTCAACACCGATTTTCGTGGTTCGTTATGTAGAACAACAGCCGCCAGCAATGCCTCCTGCCAACGCTAATATAATATTGTCGCAGAAGTCCTCGTCGTGGACGTCCGGTGGCGCCGGGGCGGGGGCCGGGGCGGGGGTGGGGGCGGGGGCGGGGGCCAAGGTTAAGGGCGGCAGCCGGCCCTCCCACGGCAGTAGCACGTCGGAAGATCGAAACGGCGCGGCGGCGGCGGCGGCGGCAGTGGCGGCGGCTGTGGCGGCTGCCGAGATGGCCGAGAAGAAGGACAAGCGGGAGAAGAACAAGCAAAAGAAGCTGGAACAGAAGCTCAAAGGTGTGTGTCGAAGCCCACGCTGCTGCTGTAGCACGCTCTAGTTCACCGTAGGTTAGGTTGTATATGATATCACCCCTCCTAGACCGATTTTCAAAGCTCGATTAATCCACGACCAAGAGGATGCCAGAATCAAAGGGTACGTATTCGGAGAACTCTCGGCAAGACCGTTCCAACGCCGTTGTTTTTCGGCATCGTCAATGCTTTTCCCTGCCGAGTAAATCGAGCTTCGGAAATCGGTCCAGGGGGTGTCATATCTTACATCATGCAACCTACGGTAGCTCGTCTGTCCTCAGCAGTGGGACACCCCCCACGTCGCGTTGCACGGGCTGCGCACCACGCTTTTTATAGTCATTCAAGGGGTTGTTCAATTTCCTTTCTTAGCGGCACACTTACATATCCTGAGGACGTCGTGCGATTTTATTCTTTCTTCCTTCGTCTGGAACCTTTGTTTTGCGCATCTCCTCCATCATGATGAGCACTGCTGCCCCTTGACGGTTTGTTCTGGTGGCGTGTGCTTGTACCGTTCTTGCGATGAGCAGAAGCCGGCGTCGGACCGGGGGTGGCAAAGTCGGGGCCGGGGTCGGCAGTGGCGGCGATGACAGTCGCTAAGACCAAGAAGGACACAAACAAGTCGGCAGATGGAGGCGCCACCTCGCGTGCCGGCGCCGCTGGCCTTGGTGCGTGGTACCTTGCGGTATCCCTTATTTTTTGTTTCAGTAGGAGTTATGCGTNGGGGGGGGGGGGGGGGGGGGGGGGGGGGGGGGGGGGGGGGGGGGGGGGGGGGGGGGGGGTGCTCAGAAGTCTTTGCAGTGACGGTCGAGTGACCATGTTCTTATCCCCTATTTTACCATCCTTGGTGTTGTTGTTGATCTTCTTTCGGATTTCGTGTTGAATGCACGGCGGTTTTTTTTTTCTGGTGTTCCTACCTGTGCGTTTGCGTCAAATGTAGATAGCACCGAACCGCGCTGTGATATTCCATTAAATTGCTGATCCGGCCGCCGACTGCTCTACGTGGTGTGCACATCACACAACCGATTCACTGCCGCGGTGTCTTTGGGGCGGGCGCGTGCTTTGTTCGAAGCAGGCAGCACCCCTGTGCAAGGAACCGGCGACCGAAAGCGCGGCGGGCCAGCAGGAGGGGACGGTGGAATTTTCTCCCCTCGCTCCGGCGCGCAAGGAAAGTCGAAGAAGAAGGCCAAGGTCGGCGCCAGCGAACCATCTTCGGCTGTCCGTGTCCAGGTATCTAACACACGTCAAAGTTTCCCTCGTGCCAGCGCGTGACCATCACCTCCCCCCGCCAGTAACAACATGATGCGCTCATGTTTTGTTACTCCCCGAGCTGCGGAATCGAAGTCGTTCCCGCCCCCCGGCCCCCCCCCCCCCCCGCCAAAATCCAAGGTGAATCTCCAAGCCCCCGCCCCTACGGGTACCCTCAATGTCAAGGCCCGAGGTGGTGCTCCCGCCGTCACCCCGGCCACATCGTTGTCTTCTTCGGGAGTACGACCAGGTGGAGGGAGCGGGGCTGCAATCGCAATCGGCAGCGACGGGACAGGGGTAGGGTCCGCCATGAACAGCGGCGGCAGCAGCAACAGTAAGGCCAAGAAAGGGGGCAGTGGCGCGGGCGGCGCTCTGAAGGATAAGGAAAAGGGTGGTGCCAAGGTGAAGGCTGCTGCGGTGCGGAAGAGCTCAACGAGCGGCGGCGGCGGCGGCGGCGGCGGCGGGGCGGTAGCAGCAGCAGCGGGCGGGTCACCAGCCGCGGGAGCGTCAGCAGCGAAATCGAAGGGGAGACAAAAGTCGCCGGTGGCTGTGGGTGCGGGGCAGCAGCGGCAGGACGGAGGGAAGGAGGCGTTGTCGGGGGGGGGCGTTCGACGGCAGGATGGAGCTTCACTCGCACCTGCTCCGGGTAAGCGTCGGTGGTTCCAGGTTTACCAAGCTTCGACGATGATGTATATATTGACTGTGTTGGTGTTGTGCCACGTGTTCTTGTATAGTTGTTTTGAGGAAAGCGGCCGCGCACTTTGGCAGAGGAGGGCAGGCCTCCCTGCCGTTAACAGGGGTGCCGTGTATCTTTGTGTACGTGAGGCCGCAAACATTGAGAAGGAGGATACGTGCAGGAAGCAAGGTGTGATGTTCGCGTTTTATGTTCGAGCTTTTCAGCGTCGGAGCTTTCTGTCTGTTTGTGAGCTGGGTCCGCGCTGGATTGTAGGCAGTCTTGGGGGTCTGTCTTTTCACGGCGAGTGCGTGGATAGGAAGATCCTCTTCTTCGTCTCTGAAGCACTGTTTGTCGGGGGACAGCGACACCACCAAGATCGCGTCGTCAAAGGATAGAGCGATGACGTTACAGCGGAAGCACCACCACCGGTCGCCTGCCGAGATGTCGCCGTCCGTCCACTGACCTTCGTCGTGCTTGCAACGGCCAATGCAAATCAAACAGGTTCAGGAGGTAGCGGCTACAGCGGCAGCAGCGCCGCCACCAACAAGAAGCGGCCTCGGCCTGAAGACGGGGGCGGCGGGGTTAGCACTTCCGCAGCACCCGCGGCGACGGCAGGCACTGGGCCGATCGCAGGGGGAGAGAGCGGCGGAGCACCAAAGAAGAAACAGAAGAAGACGCCGACGCCCACAAAAACGCCTGCCAAGAGCAGAGCGGCGGGGGGCAAGGGCGGGGGCGGGGTTGGCGCGGCCTCCCATGCTGGTGCGCCGCTTGGTAGTGCCAGTGGTGCCGCAGTGGCCGTGGGGGCTCCGCCGGGTGCCGGTCAGGGTGGGGGTGTCTTTCAAGACCTTGGCGGCGGCAGGGTGCCGTCGCCTTGGGCTTCGTCTGGACTGGTGATAGGCCCGCCTGAACAGCGGAAAGGTACGTACAGTGAACCTCCGACGTTGTTGCGGCCTAGCTTGCTTGCTCGGGCGAGTTTCTTGGCACTGCTATGTATACAGCCTTGCACAGGACGCACTACTGCTGTACCATAGGCGGTGATCGAATAGATGTAGCGATGACGTTTACTCGCACGTAGCTTCTTGGAATCATGGTTCACGAAGTTTACTTTTGAACGACGACGTTTTTTTTTATGTTGTTGCTTTTTGTGCCGTGACCGTCGAGTTGGACACCTATGGCCAGACCCATAGAATGAGACGCATCGCTGCTACTTGCTGCTGCTGTTGGCGTTGCTGCTTCTGCAGGTCCCAACTTGCACTTCGGAGGTCCTGGCTCTACGTCTTCTCCTGCGCTAAGCAGAAGCCAAGCCGGTGCCGCGGCAGGGGCGGGGGCTGCTGCGCCCTCCAAGACCGCCTCCAAGAAGACCAGCAAAATGAGTTCAGCAACAGCCAAGGTGTGCGCTGGCGCCACCGTGATTGGTGGTGCCCAACAAGCGGACGGGGTGGTTGATAGAGCTGAGAGGCTCACGAGCAGACTGCGGTGCTGCATGGAGCGAACAATCAGACTCGCCAACTTCCCGCCCTTTGGTAGCCTCAGATGAAGATCGAAGGGTCGTATGGAAGAGCTCTGCGATCGTGGAGGCGTTGGCAATGAAACGCGGCGCAGTTCATAATCTTCTCGTTCGAGTTGCTAACGCAAGGCCAGCAGCACACGTATGGTCTATGTTGTGGTTTTTGCCAGGGAGCGAGTGAAGCCCAGCAATCGTGCTCTTCTCTTGCGGACACCTGTTGCGTTTTGTGTCGCGGACAACCGACCCGCCAATTCCGTGGCAAAACCACCGCCTCACGACCCCAAGTATAGCGTCCGAACGTCTCCTGAACCCTCCCCCCCCCCAATGCTACTCGCCACATTGTAGTCCTGTTCACCCTGGGCGTGCAATGTAAGGTACCATGGTTTCACCGATCCAACAACTTAGGGTAATTTCGACCGTCATGCTGACCGCAGCAGGGGACGCTAGGGAAGACGCCTGCTTCCGCGGTAGCAAGCAAGGCCGCCGGTGGTGGCAACAACAAGTCAACGAAGGCGGCTTCCGCCTCCGCTTCCGCTCCCGCCGCTGCAGCATCCCCAGCTGCTGCTCCTCATCCCAAGACCGGAGCTGAGTCCTCCGCGGCGACTGGGGGCAAGGAAGTTTCCGCCGTTGCTGCGGGCTCGCCCCTCCTGCCCAAGGTTGCTAGGGCCTTCAAGACATCATCGTCAGGGCCAGGGACTACCGACAAGACCGAGGTCTGCAAGTCTTCGGCAGCAGCAGCGGGGGCGGCGTCACGGCCGGGGGCAGGAGAAAACGCCTCCGCCGCCGCCGCAGCTGTCGCCGCCGCCTCCTGTCACAAATCTCCGAAATGTGTTCTCAAATCTCCGAAGAAAGTCTCGTCGTCTTCAGTGTCGATTGACTCGTCTTCCTCTGCCGCTGGCCCGCCCGGTTTGCCCAAGGCCGCCGCCAAGAGCAAGAGCAAGAGCAAGGCCACGCCGGGGTCGCCCAAGGCGAGCAAGCCCAAACCAGGCCCGTCGTCACCACGATCTGGTGGGGCTAGGTCTGGGCCCTCCTGTGCGCAGCCTGCAGCAGGTATTTGCAACTACTGTAGCCGTTGACAAGTGATGCCTCCGGAGTGGGATCGTGAGAGCACAGCGGTGTCATGAAGGGGTGGCGCAAGAACATTAAAACAGGGAGCAGGAACTACTGGCTTGTGGTGTGGCGTTGCCCAAGCTTAGCAGCTCACACACTAGACGTGCTTTTGACTCGAAGAGCCCAGCGAACCCCAACGAACCTAAAAGAAAAGGTTGCAAATCTGTGCACAAGCAGTATTACCGTATATGACACAAGATAACACACCCCCTGGACCAATTTTCAAAGCTCGATTACTCCACAACGAAGAGGATGCATAAACGAAACGATACATTTTTGGAAAGCTCTCGAACGAGACGGTTCCAACGCCGCCGTTTTCGGCGCCGTGACTCTTTCTGTTGTTGAGAAATCGAGATTTGAAATTCGGTCCAGGGGGTGTGTTATCTTGTGTCATTTACGGTATGTTGCGGTTGGGTTGCTGTTTTGCCGTGCGGTGTGAAGGACTAGTTGTTGCACCGCAGAAGAGCAGAAGAGCAGCAGTAGTGGCGAAATAAGAAAGAAAATCAGTTTCGTGTGTGGCCCCGGCTACTGCTGTGTCCACGTGATGTCGAAACGTACCTGTACACTGACGTCCAGACGATATGGGGTGGCAACACGTACACATACACGAATTAGAACATGCGAGGGATTCTGCTGGTTCCGAACCATCGTCCCATGTTCCAAGTGAAGAACAAAGATCATCACATATGAACCGTTGGAATCACGTGTTTGCTCAGCTCAGAAGCACACCCGGCTTGTGTTGTTGGTAAGTAGATGCCGTTGTTTGGCGAGTATACTCAATTATACGCTTTGTCAACACCATTTACTTATTTGAAAAAGGCGGTACGTATCCGTACGGTTATCTGTTGTCGCGACGGCTTGCTTTCCTACCATCGTCTTAGACGGAAAAAATATCGCTTGGCGTGGGCTTTTATCGTCCGCGTTCTGCTCAGGAGGCGTCGCTCCCGGGGTCGTAGGAGAGCTCGTGTTGGCGGCGGCGGAGGCTGTCAAGACGGCGGCGGCGGCGGGCGGGAACGCCCCGGCACTAGTGGTCCCCAAGGGGCGCGGCCGGCCGCCAACTCCTGGCGGAAAAAACGCTAAGAAAAGGTGAAGAACTCCGCCGTACCTACCGCTGCTGAGAACTCCGTCGTGTCTAGCGCTGCTCCGAGAGTCTCGTTCGCTGTGTTCTCTAACCCTAACCCTTGCACATGAAGCGGCTGGGTATATTACTTCTTCCGCGCGTGAAAACTCGCGCCACCACCTTCCGTGTGGACCCACCACGCTGGGTTTGACCCCCACTCACGACACATGTCCACGCCCTCCGTACTTGATGCTTTACAGGGAGTCTTTGCTCCAGAAGTTGCTGGAGGAAGAGATGGCGAAGGTCAACAAAGCCGGTACCCCCGGTCCCGCTGAGCGCAGCGGTCCGTTTCCTTCCCCCTCCTCCTCCTCGGCCCAGAGCGAGAAGGACAAGGAGAAGGCCAAGGATAAGGACAAGAAGGAGGAAGACAGGGCGAGGGCGGTGGCAGCGGCAGCCGATGCGGCGGACGCGAGAGGTAGGGGAGTGAGATGAGATGCCGTTTATTTTTTTTTGTCATGCTCTTTGGTGGACGGGTTGGGAACAACACACCCTCTGCTCACTACAAACCCAATGTTCTTGTTGTTGGTGTCTCTGCAACTAGCCTTGCATAGCCGGCAGCTGTCGTAGAAAATCCCGTTCTCCCTCGCCCGTAAGTACGCTCCGGCTGGTCTTTCTCAACAATGCAGTTCGTGGCTGCTTGTTGCGACGGGTTTTGTTGTGACATCACCGCTGCTTCGGCTGCAGGACAAGCGGCGCTTTCGAGTATGGGCTGCAATTGTTGGCATGATCGTCTGACGTAGCGCTTATACAACCAGACGGCATTGGACTTGCATGAAGCCCCGCCCGGATGCCCAAGCACATTAGACTCTCACGTTGTTTTGTTATCTCTCTGTGTATCTTGGTGTGTGTATCTCTTTCTCCCTCCCTCCCTCCCTCCCTCCCTCTCTCCCTCCCTCCTTCCCTCTCCCTCCCTCCTTCCCTCTCTCTCTCTCTCTCTCTCTCTCTCTCTCTCTTCTGAAACGATTGTTGATCTTGGGACAGGCCGACGGTCGAGGGATCAAGAGGCGCCGGGTAGTCCCGCCGGCAAGCCTAAGAAGAAGGACAAGAAGAAGGAGGGCAGCACAAAGGAGAGCAATAACAAGGACAACAAGAAGGAGAAGACCAAGAAAGAGAAGAGAGACGGAGAGGAGAAGGAAGTGGAGAAGGTCAAGGATGATGGCAAGGAGAAGGTGAAGAGGAAGGCCGTCAAGGCGAAGAACGCTAAGGACAAGACCACCGAGGACAAGGGCTCCAAGGACAAGAGCGACGAAGGCAAGGACGGCGCTGGTGAGAGTGATCGACCTGCAGGTGTGGGACCGGTATACCCGCCGCTGCCTCCCCCCTGAAGAATATTGTTCGGGGCATACCCGAGCAAAGCATCGCATTCTGCTAGGGACGCTACATATGTTTCAATTCATGTGCTTACGATTTGAACGTAGTGTGATTTTCATTTTTTTTTTTTTGCGTTCTGGCTCCAGGGGGGCACGCCGATGGCACAGCCGGTTCCGACAAGAAAGCCACCGGAGAAGAGAAACTCCTCGCAACCCCGCCGGCTCCCAAAGGCAAGGGGAAACCCAAGAGCGTCGCCACTCCGGGGGAAGGGGAGAGAGTGTCCGGCTCGGCTGCTGCGCCAGCGAGCCCCTCGGAGAAAATGCGCGGTGGTGGCGGTACGGCCAAGACACCCGGTTCCAGGGCTCCGTCAGTTGGTGGCGGCGGCGGCGATGGTACCAAGGTTAAGAAGGGGAAGCAGGCGACGGCGGCGGCGGCGGCGGCGGCGGCGGCGGCGGCGGCGGGGGGTTCAGGGAGGGAGGAGATTGACTTGAGGGGTGATCCGATGAAGGTAGACGAGGATAAGGATAAGCAGGATGAGACGGAGGAAGAAAAGGAAAAGGAGGTGGAAGATGACCGGTGGTGGGTGGGGGGTGCCTGGGGCAAGGACGAGAATCACGTCATCGAGTTGGACGAGGTACGATAGCTTTTCGTTTTTTTTGTTTTGTCTTCCCAATCCTTTCGATTTTTTTTTTGGGGGGGGGGGCTGTCTTCATGCCCCATCTCCCTACCGCTGCCTACACTATTCCACAATGCTGTTGTTTTGTTTGTTGCTGTTCGGACGGCCGTGCGAGGACATGGCCTAAAATCGTAGTTCTCTCCATAAGTTTATGTCGGCGAATCATGCATAGAAAATCTTAAATCCCCCTCCTCTCGCTCGATCTCTTTCCCACCCGGTGTCCCTCCCGCACCTGATTATCTCGTGTTTGTCTGTGCTGTCTGTCCCGCCTCCCACGCTGTCCCAACTTCTGCTCGCGTGCAAACGGCCGTATCACTCGCGCTCCTACCGACGTTAAAAAACAAAAACAGAACCTGATGCAGGAGGGAACGCTACCGCAAACATTCTCTTCGTACGATGGGGAGTTCGAGGTGCGGCGTGTTCGTTGGTGGTTCAAGTGTGTTGTGTTCGTGCTTTCTTTTCTCGCTCCGTGTTCTTGGTCTCTTTTCTCTCCCTTGTTAGAATCACTGGTAGATTTACAGCAGCGGCGGGCGGGTACAAACTGTTTATCTCTACGTCTTCGCTTCTGGGGAAACATGTCTGTTGTTCAACTTGTTTCGTGGGCATGTTCTCCTCGAATGGTCACATGAGGTTCGTGGCGTTTTTTTCGCTGTGGTTGGTGAGGTTGCCTCCGACAAGACGCACATAGGTAACGCAATAGTATTTGCGGAGGTTCGCCCCAGCGGTATCCGCTCTCTCAAACGACGCTTCGGGAAAGTGAATCGAGAAGTGTAAACATTATCAGGGACGCGCGCACTTGAATTTCTTTTGACGCGACACCAGAAACGACGTCGGAAAACATTGTGTTGCGTCCAGCGTGTATGGTCCGTCCGTTTGGTTGATTCTAGTTGCAATGTGCACACGCTTTCGTAAGAGACTAAATTTTTCGTCTTTCGTGTTCTGCCGCTCGTTGTTGTTGGTGTCGCGTTTGGGGTGAGGGTTATCAAACGCAGCCTACAAGCAGTGTGTGGGTACCTTCAAATGACGTTGGTGTACTGACAGTGTGGTAACTTCACGACTTTGATGTACTAACGGTTTTTTCGTCGTTGCTTCCTCTGCGACAAAAAAAACGAACGTCGAACAACCCAGCGGGCCTGGACCACACGAATGTGCTTCGGCGTGTTTAATTTACCGTACCGCGCACGATGCAGGTGGATATTCCCGCGGGCCTGTTCGGGGTTATCCTGGATGATACTCGGGCTATCCTGGAAGAGGGCAATCTCATCCGCCTTCCTCGCACCCCTTGCGTGAGGTGAGGCCAACCACGAAAGAGAGATTAATCTGCTGCTCGATCGATCGCTCGGGGGTACCGCAGGGTGGTTTGTTTGAGATGCATACCCGTTCTGTCTTTGTCGCTGTTCCTGTCTTGTCGCTGTCTGTCTCTGTCCCGCGCTCTCTCTCTCTCTCTCTCTCTCTCTCTCTCTCTCTCTCTCTCTCTCTCTCTCT